CGGATAGAGAACTGTTAGTTCTATCTTCATATTCAATAGCACGCTTATCCGATTAAAAACGCCTTAGAAATACGCAAAATACTAAGAAACTTTGTGCAAGTGGCCGGAATTACCCCATCTGACTCTAATTCAAGTTTTATTTATTTGTCATTTTTCATTTATTTTATGATCATATTATTTTATTGATCATTCAGTATTTTTTTATTTATCAATTAAATGCATGCGTAATGAATAATACTCCCGACACTATATCTATTCGACTTACAGTCAATGGACTGCGTGAATCCATGTGATGCTCGTTATTCATAAATATGTTATTTTCTTTTTCTTCCTGTTGGCTATCATTATTATATCCAATGAAGAAAAGAAACACATTGTCGGTTAACTGTAGGAAAGAAAAGGTGGCATACTGTGATATGGAGAATTGAGAAGAAACAAAGAACGACGCTCAGTAGATATCAATTATTTTAGTGACAGTCATATAACTTTGTCGATGCGTTTTAACAAAATATGCAGTGTTACATCCATCAAATAATTAACTACATAATTTACAAAAATCGTATACGAATCTCATAAGAATTTTTCATGATAACTATAGACTACCAACTACTTTTACTAATTAATACAATTTTTTCTCAACAAAGCCACTTGTTCAGTTTGTGATCTCATGACGAGGATGTCGCTCAAAAGAAATCGAACATGCATTGGCGCTGTAGTGCCTGCTAATTAAAACATGCCACTATTTTGGAATTTTTTGGAAAATATTTCCATTTCTCACCTAGTTATACTTGCTGAGGTCTAAAAAATGTTTAGTCACCTTAGGTTTGACTGTGGGAAGAAGAATAGTGTAAACAAAATATTATTTTGGCCATATGACAGCCACTCCTGATGGGCTCGAGAAATTTCTGTTGAATCTTAATTGCTCTCCTTCTCTCATGTCATCCATGAGAGTGTGCTTGTTAACATCAAATATTTCAAATTTGCTGTCTCTTACTCTTTTTTTACCGTTTGACTTGCTGATTATTCTATTCATTCGATAAATTTATTTGATGCTTAAATAAGAACAAAAAACATAGATGGGAGAAGGTCGTTTGGTATGAAAAACTCAAGTGTGAATCGCCCGAAGTACTTCAATTGCTTTGTGTGGTATATATGTTTCTTTCTATACCTTTACAATTCAAATGATTTCCTAGCTCACACTCAAGAAGAAAAACGCTCGTGAATACGTTTGAGCCATAAACATGGACTGTGATGTTGCAGTATTAAAAAGTTTTAAATCACTAAAGAATATTTCTGTGCAACAAGATCAGTCACCAGAACGGACATCATCATTGGTTGAAGATAAAACAAATGTTGCTTATAATAATTTGATATGGAAAATTGATCGACGTTTAATACCACTTTTATCCTTATTATATCTTTGTTCATTCCTAGACCGCATTAATATTGGTAAGTTAAATCTGCTAGACCTATAAGCTTAGATTTTTATTCAATAAGTATTGATTAGGTAACGCTAAAGTTGCTGGAATTGAAAAAGATATCCATTTAACACCATCACAATACAACATTGTTGTATCGATATTTTTCGTTAGTTATGTATGTATATAAATTATATATTGAATCTGCTGCACTAATGATTACGTTCATTTAAGACTGTATGTGATGTACCAGCAAATTTATTTTTGAAAAAACTTGGTCCATCTTTATGGATATCGATAATTATCATTCTCTGGGGTACAATCATGACATCGATGGCAGCTGTTAACAACTATTCAGGATTATTAATAGCACGGTTTTTTCTGGTTTGTATTTCTGCTATTTATTTTGATAATACGAATGTCGGTTTATATTTTATAACTTTAGGGCGTGGCCGAAGCAGGATTATTTCCAGGAATTTTATTCTACCTATCCATTTGGTACACAAAACGACAACAGATAATGCGAATAGCAATCTTTTTTTCGTCAGCTATACTTGCTGGAGCATTTGGTGGTGTATTGGTGTGTCTGTCGTTCTCATTTATGTACATCGAGGTTATAATTTATTCTCTAGTTTTAGGCTTATGGAATTATAAAGATGAGTGGTAAAGCTTACTTAACGGGATGGCAGTGGATTTTTATTCTCGAAGGTTCTCCCGTTGTTCTCATTGGAATAGTCACATACTTCTATTTGCCAAATTATCCTGAAACAGTTAAATGTAGGATGTTTTCAATCAAGATGTTTTGTGCTTAATACTGTGTTGTTTAGGGCTCAGTGATCGTGAACGTTTGTTGCTGATCGATGGTTTGAAAATGGACGCAGGAGTTGCAGATCAAAGTCATTTTTCATGGCTACAAGTCAAACGAGTTTTTATGGATAAACAAGTGTACTTTTATGCATTGGCTAATATTGGCAATTTAACATCTTTCTATAGTTTGAGTTTATTCTTACCAGCAATTATCCACGGTATGGGTTATTCGAGTGTGCAAGCACAATTAATGTCAGCTGTGCCCTATGCAATTGCATTCGTATTTACACTTGCTGTATCATATCATTCTCAGCGTGTCAACGAACGAGGTATTCACGTGTGTATATGTAATCTAATTGGTATTGTTGGCTTTGTTCTATTATTGACTGTGCACAAGTATGGTGCGTTATCAATGTATATTGCATCAATTATTGCATGTATTGGAACATTCTCACCTATACCAACTATTTTATCTTGGTCAACAAATAATATCGGGGGACACACAAAAAGAGCAGTGGCTTGTGGTTTTATAATTGCTTTCGGTGGAATGGGGGGTATCGTAGCTGGACAAGTAAATATCACTGTGCCAAAGTGAGACTCATAAATAGCTATGTGTTTATTTTAGTCATATCGAGCGAATGATGCACCGAACTATCACAATGGTCATTCAATTGCGCTCTCTTTTCTATGTTTAACTTTATTAAGCGCAATTACACTAAAATGTTTACTGAAATACGATAATTATAAACGAGATAATTTGACAGTAGAAGCATACAATGATCAATGTTCACAAGAAGAGCTAGCTGACTGGGTAAGTGTTCTATTCTTCTTCGGACAGGATACTATAGTGTAAGCATTCTATTTATGTTTAGCATCCTGATTTTCGTTATATCACTTAAAATTCGTGTACGAAGACATAATTAGTTTATTACATTACTTACCCATACAAAAGATCTGAAACAGACGCACAAAAGTCCTTAATTCAGTATAGATACATAGCGATATTTTGTCAACGAAGTTCAAGCCTTGTATACACATACATTATTCATAATCAAATAAATAAACTTTTTGCGCTTTGATTATGCTCCTACAAAAGATCACTCGTACGCAACAAAGCCAACGGACGCCTGTTTTGTAGTGAGAGCCTTAATTTACTTGTGTACTTTGGAAAATTCGCTAGAAAATCCTGGAAAATCTTCCAAAGGTGCAAAAGATGGTCATAATTGGCATACGATTACAGGAGATTAGCAATTCACTGTAATTTATGTATATCTCGTTGTATGCATTAATGATCAGTTATTGGCGAAGTTTTGTAGAAAACTGGGATCAGTTTTCTCGTCGAAACGCAGTACTACAAAGCCTAGTGAAATACGCCATTCATACGAGAATAATCTTTCTATAAAATGAGAGGAACCAAGTAAATGTCTGAATTATTATCTAAATGTTTTAGAGAATAACAACAATTTGAGATCAAAGCACACAATCTTTCAAAAGGGACTTGATTTCCAGCCTTACAATAACTTTCTCTAAAATTAAAACACCTACTTTCGTAGCCCGTGATCTACTCTTTCCTCTTCAGAGAGTAGTTATTAAAAATAAATGCTTCTATGTTAAGAAAATTAGTTTTTAATAAGGCGGCGTCAAACGCATGAGAGATGTCATTAGTGCTGCAAGAGTATCTCAATAACCAAATATTTGCAAGAAAAACAATTATGCTGTGTCTTATCTGCATATGGTCTACATACTAGTTACAAAATAATATATCTGTTTCTGACCTCTATTATGTCTGATCATTCCTTACACCTCCCCTTACAAACTATGGCAATCGATGAAGAATTCAATTCCCTACAAAATATACCATTTCTCAAATGTTACATCATTACGTAAAAGACTTGAAAATATTTTGATGATATATGAAATATTTCACCCTCACCTCTCATAAAAAAATTGTTTTAGGAACGTTTCTTCAATAACAAATTGCATTTTTTGGTCAAAGATATCTTTGTTGAACTTCATTCTACTATCCTAAGCTCTTTTGTTCTTTAAACTTGAATTTATTTGTCACAATAACTACACAAAAACGAAACAGAAATTTAGAATGTAAATAAATGTCTGTTTCTACTTTCACAACCTTTTTGAGGTTTTAGTACTCGATACAAACGCGTTAGCACAATTTGTGCCATTAAGACTGATTCGTGATGGGCAAATTCAATTGCTTTTATAAGTAAATGAATATTTTTCGAGTAGTCTATTATAGCAAGTTATTTTAATTAGATAACTGATGCCATTTAGTAGTTCGCACGCTACATTTTTATTGCTTTTATTGATCAAAATGCCAAAGGGTGCAACATTATCTATTTGTCCCAGTAGTCTCAGTTTCGGATTTCTACTTTTGATTTCGGCTTTCATCATTCGATAGCCAAGATCTGAATATACTTTTTCATAAACAGAAGCATTTAGCAAAAATATTTCAAGTATTGAGTTTCTTCTAGAATTAGTTAGCTACAATATATTTTTCGAGTATTTATGAAGAAAGTTATTTGGAGACTTATCGCGAGTTATCGAGATGTAGATATCTACCTTGCTAAACGATTTGTGTATCGCGATAATTTCTTTCATAGCGTTTTAACCTTCAGTCTAGTTAAACTGAGGTAACTTGTTGCTCACCATGTTTCAGGACACTGATAAATTATCGTATTATTGTAAGTATGGGGCTAAAAAAACGTCCTTATAAGTATCGATAGACTATAGTATCTTACACAACTCGTTTATATGTGGATCGCATATCAGAATTTTTTTTCTGGAGAAACGAAATTTTTGAAACTCAGATATCGCGTATAAGGGTGACGAGTCGCGTTGTAAATCGAGCCTTCAAGGTTGTAATTTCCAAACGTCGCATTTTTGGAGTTTAATCAATTTGTAACTTAAACTGAACGTTGAAACAGTCGTATTTACGACATCGTTTATAAACTTTTCTACTTTTAAAGAAGCTCCATATTACAAAAATCTCACGGGAATAGGAACATGTGAGGCCGATATAAAATGTGGAATGAAAACGACGTGCTGGGATAATACAAACACACGAACACAAAGAGAGAAGCATACACCTCTTGGCCCGCCAAAAAGACATAGCTAAAAGAAATGGGCAAATAGAGTAGACAAATGGTGCATGATATAATATTGTAAGGACAAAAATATCTTAAGCACGACACTGTCCGAAAGTCTTTTTCAATTTTGTCTGTTTTTTCACACATCACATAACATCGACAGAACAGAAAAATATATATTACTTCATATTATACGAAAGAGTGCAAAAGTTTCGCTTGTCATCTCAGCTCTCCACTTCATACGTCCAAATGGTAAATGCGGAAAATCGTTTAAACCGCAAGAAATCACAAGCCTGTAAAATCATGCGCAGAGAAATGGTATAAGGATTATGATATAGATTAGCCGGAGAGATAATTCATACAAGAAGAAGGAACAATAACTGATATTCACGAAACAAAACATGAAGAATGCCATTTAGAATTTGTGCAAAAGCTGAAGATTTGATCCAAACAGCGCACAAATCATCGATGACAACAACGACAGCAAACACATTTATCATACTGATGAAGGTGAGGAGATCTGTAAGATAACCCAATAAACTACATGTTACTTTCATGCCAGAATTGGAAGAAATGATCGAAAGTGATCATCTTCTCACAGCGATCGAACATGACGATGCTTATCACGGCCTATACACGGTGGACGAAGAAACTGCAAGACAATCCGCACGCAGGTACAGCAAAGAAATAAGATATTCGATTTATTAGCATCCGAATCATATGATGAGTTCCAAGAATTGCTCCCACGTTTTCAATTGAACTGGTCAAACTCGTTCGTCGCGTATTTCAACAAAAAGGTTAAACCAGATATTCATGAACTCGGTAAGTATGACCTTAAAAACAAGCAATGTCATGCGCATTCTACGCAAACTAAACAGATCCTTCCCATTAGAACTTCTGAATAATTTCTAATTAGTTCAAACTAATTTCAAAATTCAAAGGAATTCGAAAGAATTTAAATCGAAAACAGTACAGATCAATTAAAAAATATTTTTGCATTCAGAATTAATTAAAACTAATTTGAAATTCTGAATGAAAATGCAATAAAAATTCCGAAATTAATTTACATTAATTAAAAAAAGCGAAAAAAAATCAAAATTAATTTTCCTCACTACCAAATTAAAACAGGTCTCATATTAAATTCGTGCAAACTAATTTTTAATTCTTAATTTGTTTAAATTAGTTTATAAAATTCAAACAATTAACGCTTTTTCAAATTAATTTAAAGCAATTTAGTCACACGTCCATCTTAAGTAATAGGAAAAGAAATTATTTCATCAATTTGGTTTACATCAATTTCAGAGCAAAAATTCGTTCAAATTAATTGCAGGTTGGAAAGTAGTTTAGACAAATCCAACATTAATTGATTTAAATGAAATACACCTTGTAAATTGATCTGAATTAATTTGATAATAGTAATTACTTTAAATTTATTTTGTAGTCAGTAATGTTAGGTGCTTTGAACGCACTAATTCATTTAAATTCATTTTATAGAACGGATTTGCATTGATTCGAAAATAGAAATTAATTTCAAGAGTTGCACAACCAAAATAAGCATTTATTTCTCTTCTGAAAGATGTTCGTTGAATCGTGAGCAATCCGTTGGACCCCTCGAAAAATCCAAAATGGGTTTAACCGATTCTGGATTCAGTCACCAATTCAGTTAATTAATTGGTGAATTCAAAATGGGTTTAACTGATTCATCAATCAGAACCCATTTTGGATTTTTCGAGGAGTCCAACGGATTGCTCACGATTCAACGAACATC